CCCCGGCCGCAACGCCTGTGGCCGTGACCGGCCCGCACACGCGCCGAGCATCCCAGGGGTGAGCCCCAGGCTTCGCGCCAACGGCCGTGGCTAGCGCGTACATGCGCTGTGCACCCCGGGGGTGGGCCTGCACAACCTGGGGGGGGTGGGCCCGTGTCCCACGGGCGGGCTTGCGCATATGCCTTGCGCCCAGGGGCGGCACCACATGCCTGAGCCCAAGGCGCCAAAAGGGCTTGGGCCGGCCCTGCTGAGCAGGTCTGATATCCTAAATGCAAGGAGGATTAATATCCCTGTACATGCACATACAAATATATTGCACTCACGCCCTTCATCCCATAAGTTGGGCTACATTCCAGACCTAATTTATATGTGTGTGGGATGTTTTAAAACAAATACTGCTATGTCTAAAGGTTCCCCATCTAAAGGTTAACCATCTAGTCTGTATCTCCTATTATTTTCAGTGCTGTTATTTCTTTGTGAGGGCTCTGCTTTCATCAGAACATCTTCTATGCTGTCTTTGTGAGGGAAAGGACTCATCACTTCTTTAGGAGTCCTCATTCTCTTTCTCAACAAGTGATCGTACAGGATGATTCCCTCCAGCCCATTGAAGCTAATGGGAGAACTTTCACTGGGTTCAGTGAGTGTTTGGATAAGGCCCTGCAGTAGGAGGCATATAGATTTGGAAATGTTTGCACCTCTTATTGGCATGACCCATGCCAATAGGAGCTCTCCACAAGTAGTAGGCTTAGGGTATGTCTAGACTACATGCTTTTGTCGTCAGAGGCTTTGTTGACAAAGAGCGGCTAGACGACATCCAGTTCTGTCAACAAAGCAAGCTGCTTTGTCAACATGAGAGTGTAGGCGCAAAGGACAGTGTAGATGCAATAACACCTTCTGTTGACAGAACTCTGTCGACAGAAGGCGTTATTCCTCATAGAATGAGGTTTACCGCCGTTGACAAAACTACCGAGTTCTGTCGATGTTATGTCAACAGAACTTGGCGGTAGTGTAGACGCAGGTATAGTTTTGTCGACAAAAGTCCACTTTTGTCGACAAAACCCGGTAGTCTAGACACATACCCCTGAGGGTATGTCTACTCTACCACCGTAGTTCGAACTAGGGTGGTTAATGTAGTCAATCAAAGTTGCAAATGAAGCCCGGGATTTAAATATCCTGGGCTTCATTTGCATCTTGCCGGGCGCCGCCATTTTTAAATCCCCGGTAGTTCGGACTCCGTGCCCGCGGCTACACGGCAAAACCCGGTAGTCTAGACACATACCCCTGAGGGTATGTCTACTCTACCACCGTAGTTCGAACTAGGGTGGTTAATGTAGTCAATCAAAGTTGCAAATGAAGCCCGGGATTTAAATATCCTGGGCTTCATTTGCATCTTGCCGGGCGCCGCCATTTTTAAATCCCCGGTAGTTCGGACTCCGTGCCCGCGGCTACACGGACGTGGTGCCCGCAGCACAGAGTAGGTAGTTCGAATTAGGCTTTCTAATTCGAGCTACCGTTACACCTCCACGAACTACCTACTCCGTGCCGCGTGTAGCCGCGGGCACGGAATCCGAACTACCGGGGATTTAAAAATGGCGGTGCCCAGCAAGATGCAAATGAAGCCCGGGATATTTAAATCCCGGGCTTCATTTGCAACTTAGATTGACTACATTAACCACCCTAGTTCGAACTAGGGTGGTAGTGTAGACATACCCTTACATAGTAACCTCTTCAACAGATAATATAGGAAATTACCTTGATTATAGTGCATATAGCAACTCCAGAATCATGAACAGTACCTAAGGCGGCATGAGCATTTGAGTGCGCAGCCTTTCTTAGTAAAACAAAAAGGAATTATAGTTAAATACTGTTCCTTTTACTATGCAATATTTAATAGGTCCAGTCCTGTTTTCAATGAAATCAGTGATGGTTTTGCTATTATTTTCCGGTTGGGTTCTGGGTATAGGATTGGGCTCATCATTGTTATTCACAAGTTGTATCTGCAAGTATTCAATGTAATCCTGTTATAATGTAATTCAATAAGTTATATGTGTTTCTACTGCTCATCAGTCATAAAGCTGGTAATTAGTCCTACAACTCTATAGCTATGCCAATACCTAATAGTATTATCAGAGAAAATGTACTCAGAATATGTTTTGTATTTTCATTCTTGCAATTGAAAGGGAACGAATCTGCACTGTGGTTTTTTTAATTAAATGTAGCTGTTGAATCCTACTCTAATTTAGGTTTTAGAGGTTCCATCAATATCATGGTAAATAATAAATATGCGGATACTTGGACTACATCAGTTTGAGTGCTGTGATAAAGAGGTCATTTAGGGGAATGCTCATGTGTTTATATGTGTTTGTATTTCTTCACCAACAGAAAACAGATCAGTCGTTTCATTCATTCTTCTGCAGGACAAAGTAGCTGACAGTACAGTACCCAACTGCAGTGAAACCTCTTTATAAAATGATATTCATTCCCTTCCCACCCTGAATGACCTGATTTCATGTCTTCAGGCACACAGTGTCAATTATAGACCAAAAAACCAAAAAAGCTGCTGTCAAGGGGCTTCTGAGGAATGGAATTGCCATGCAGATCTAGTTACGCCATGTAAAATTAATCATTATATTTCTGCCGCTACCTTGATTTTGCATTTGTGTCACATAGGGATTCTTAAATGACCTAATATTGAATGTGGTGAATTACAGGCTGGAGACCGCAATGTTTGTGATGCCATGACAGAGGATGGATTGATCTACAGGTTGTGGCTTTTCCTCATCTGTGTTGGAGTGTGTTCACCTCCTGAGCCACCTCAGGAATTATTCATTCCTGAATTTACCTTTGCATAACTGGGAAGAACTTGTAAGTGGACTGTTCGCTGCTGCTCACAAACAGGGAAGAATTGGTAGAGGAAGTATAAGTCGGTGGCAACCTGGGCATCCGTGACCATGAGTTGGTTGAGTTCAGGATCCTGACTAAAGGAAAGCAGCAGAATGCAGGCCCTGAACTTCAGAAAAGCAGACTATGACTCTTTCGGGGAACTGTTGGGCAGGATCTTCTGTGAGGCTAATATGAGGGAGAAAGGAGTGCAGGAGAGGTGGCTGTGTTTTAAAGTAGCCTTATTGAGGGGGCAGAAACAAACCATCCCAATGTGCTATTGGAATAGTAATTATGGCAGACAACCTGCTTGAATTAACAGAGAAATTTTTGCTGAGCTTAACCACAAAAAGGAAGCTTACAAGAAGTGGGAACTTGGATAGATGACTAGGGAGGAATATAAAAACATTGCTTGAGTATGCCAGGGTGTAATCAGGAAAAGCGTAATTGGAGATGCAGCTAGCAAGGGACATGAAGGCTAATAAGAAGGGTTTCTACTGGTATGTTATCAAGAAGGTCAGGGAAAGTGTGGGAATTTTATTGAATGAAGAAAGCAACCTAGTGGCTGATGAGGTGGAAAAAGCTGAAGTACTCAATTTTTTTTTTTGCCTCAGTCTACACAGACAAGGTCAGCTTCCAGACTTCCATTGGACAACACAGGATAGGAAGGAGGTGAGCAACAGAAGAACAGGGTAAGGACTATTTAGAAAAGCTGGACATGCACAAGTCCATGGGGCCAGATCAACTGATCTGAGGGTGCTGAGGGAATTGGCTGATGTGATTGCATTATCTTTGAAAACTTGTGGTGAACAGGGGAGGTCCTGGATGATTGGGAAAAGACAAATGTAGTGCCCATCTTTATAAAATGGAAAGAAGAGATTCCATGGAATGACAGACCACTAAGCCTCACCTCAGTCCCTGGAAAAATCAGGGAGCACATTCTCAAGGAATCCATTTTGAAGCACTTGGAGGACAGGAAGTTGATCAGGAATAGTCAACATGCATTCACCAAGCGCAAGTCATGTCTAACCAACGTTAAGTGCCTTCTCCGGCAAGATAATTGGTTCTGTGAATAGGGGAAACATCACAGACATGGTATTCCTTGCTTGTTGCAAAATTTCTGATATGGTCTCCCATGGTATTCTTGTCAGCAAGTTAAATAAATAAGGCTTTAATGAATGGACTATAAGGTGGATAGAAAGCTGGCTAGGTCATCGGGCTCAATGGGTAGCAATTAATGCCTGTCTCTAGTTGGCAGCTGGCATCAAATGGAGTGCCCCGGGGTGAGTTCTGGGACCAGTTTTGTTTAACTTCTTCACTAATGATTAGGATGATGGGGTGGACTCCACGCTCAGCAAGTTTGCAGATGACACTAAGGTGGGAAGGAAAGGTAGATTTGCTGGATGGTAGGGATAAGGTCCAGACTGACCTAGACAAATTGGAGGATTGCTCTAAAAGAAATCTCAGGTTCAACAAGGAAAAGTACAGAGTGCTGCATGTGGGACAGAAGAATCCCAAGCACTGTTACAGGGTGGGGGCCAACTGGTTAAGCAGCAGTTCTGCAGAAACGGATCTGGGGATTATAGTAGACAAGAAACTGGATATGAGTCAACAATGTGCCCTTGTTGCCAAGAAGGCTAATGGCATATTGGACTGTATTAGTAGGAGCATTGCTTGCAGACTGAAGGAAGTGATTATCATTTTTTGAGGAGTAAGGGTTCTTGCACAAAAGGGTATTTTTGCGCAAAACGGATCTGTCTACACTGCTTCTTTTTGTGCAAAAACCTCTTCCGCAAAAAGCATCAGAAGAGAATATGCAAATGAAGCACGAGAAGTTGCTAATTAGTGCTTCATTGCATTGCCTCTTCTGCAAAGAAAAGGCAGTGTAGACGTAGCCTAGGAGGATGCTGAAGCACTGGAATGGGTTGCCTAGAGAGGTGGAGGAATCTTCATCCTTAGAGGTTTTTAAGACCAGGCTTGACAAAGCCCTGGCTGGGATGATTTAGTTGGGAGTGGTGCTGGTTTGAGTAAGGGGTTGGGCTAGATGACCTCCTGAGGTCTCTTCTAACCCTACTTTTCTCTGATCCTATGTTTCTTTGCAGATTATATTTTTAAATGGTGGAAGGTATGATAAGCACAAAATCAAAGGAACATTCTGCAGCCTTTCATTTTTTAATGGAAGTGATATTGGAGGTCCCGTCTGGACTCTGATTCTGTCCCTGTTTATCAATGCACTTTAAGCACATGCTTAGTTTTATTTGTGTGTTTAGGTCTTACTGATGTAAAAGTGACTTGAGTATTTTTCAAAGCAAACACAAGTGCGTAAGTGCTTTGCTGAATAAGGATGGGCTTACACAAACATTTAAATGCCAAACTGAGGCAAAAGTATCTTCAAAAATGAAAGTAATCATAATAATGTGACTCAAAATTTTTAACTTAATACATTGCACATACTTTTAAAAGTAAATTTAATTGAGAACAAAGGATCTTCTAAGCACAGCACCAGAGGATTAGGTATTCTGGAGCTCTAGCATTAGCTTTGACAGAGACATTCTCCTGTCATTGGGCACTTTTCCTCAATTTCCTCATCTATAAAATGGCACAAATAAGGATGTGATTAACTTATCATTGTTTGTGAAATGCTTCGAAGATGATGTGGTTATATACACTCAATCAGTAATGCAGTTAAACGGAGTACCATTTTAAAAGAATAATTTTCCCTGTAGGTGAATTATTGGTAACGAAGACATTTTTATTACCCATTTATTTAAACTTTTTCAGTTGTATTTCTCTCCCAAAGGCATAGATTCAGAGATTGTGTTACAAAGAAGCTGCCCTACAAGTGAATTTTCAGTTGCTTGTCCTTGTATTGTATAAACATTGTATCGAGTTTCACCAGCTGGTGTTCTTGATTAGTGTTTTGTCAGGTCACCGCTTGATTAGCAGGGCACAAATAACTATTTGTCATATTGTACCAAGTCCTGCAGCTTTTACTCATGCAACATGGCCTCCATGGGAGTTTTGCATGAGAAAGGCAGCATAATTTAATCTTAATACATTGCACATCCTTTTAAAGTTGATTTTTTAGAACAAAGGGTCTTCTAAGCACAGAGACAAGGGATTAGGAATTCCCAAGTTCTAACATTGGCTTTGACAGAGTCATTCTTTCTGCCCTTGGGCACTTTTACTCAGCTTTTCCATCTTTAAAATGGTGCTAATAATAACTCCTACCTCAAAAAGTGTCATTTAGCTTAATTTACCAGGGTTTATAAAGCACTATGGAGAAAAGTGTTATGATTTGTACTCAGTAATCCAGTTAAATGGAGTATCATTTTAAAAGAAGAATGGACATTTTTACACTGTGCTGAAAAACATCTTCCACTGAAAAAATGTTTTGATGGAAGAGCTTTTACCAGATCTAGCAAACATTAATTGATACAGCTTCACAAGCTGTTCATTAAGTAAAGACAGAGAAGTTGAGATTAAATTTTGTGAATGAGAGCACTTAAAGTTTGGGCACTTAACATTTACTTAGTTAGCTAGAGCGGAGTTCTAAATAGAAGCCAGGATTCCTCAGGCCTTATCTACACTTGCTGGGAGATTGATGTGGTGGGGATCGATCTTTGGGGGATCGATTTAGTGGGTTTAGTAAAGACCACTGATTGTGCTCCTATCAACTCCTGTACACCATTAGATCGAGACGAGTAAGGGGAGTCAATGGGAGAGTTTCTCCCATTGTCCCTCTACAGTGGAGATGCCACGGTAACTTGAACTAAGGTACATTGACTCCAGCTATGCTATTCACATACCTGGAGCTGTGTTCCTTATTTCAACATTGTAGACCTAGCCTGAGTCCCAGACCTTCACCCATTGCAAACCTCATTTTAGCCTGTTACATCCCTTTATCAAAATATCTCCCAAGATCCAAGTAATTGCATGGAGAAAATTTCTGGCTTTCCATTTAGGGGTGGTCAGGTCTTCTCATATGTGATTCTTAGATATACCATATACCTGGAAGGCTTGCTTATGATTTCAGTGTTTTCACTGGGAAGCCTTGATCTTAGTATTCATAAATGGTGAGTGTGGTCTCGTCTATAGGATTATAATTTTCTATGTTTATAAGTATCCTTTTGGGGATGAAATTGCTGATATCATAGTCTACAGTTTGGCAGATTACCTCTCTTTGGACTAAGGCAAGAACTCAGTGAACTGTTGTTCTGGTGAAACCCAAAGGCCTGACCCTCATGTAAGTGGGGAGCAACTTCAACTCTTGTCAAAGTCAACAGGAACTGAGGAAGTTTGGGAGCTCTTCAGACATATGAGGCATCTTGGAGGTTGTCCACTGACAGAGTGGGGAAAGGAGGATAATTGCCCCAATGCCCAGCAATTTGAAGGGTCCTGGGGCTCCTGGTTGCTGCCAAT